GTGTGAGTTTCAGCCTCACATGAGATTTTCATGTGAAGCCTTTTTCAAGCTCTCCCCGCCCACCCGCCGCCGGGGGACGTCTTGGGCGCAAGCCTTCTCACATAGTGGGGGCTTGCGATATTAGTACCGCCACACTAATTATGCAGTAGAGTGAGTGTGTGTGTGTGTGTGCGTGTATGCGGCTGCAATGACAGTCACTTGGATCAACCATGTCTTGCCCATCTGTTGAAGGAGGCTGGCATACAGATGCTTGTTCATTGATGTTGTCACCATGAGCCCCACGAATGCGTTTACGGATTACGACATGAAAATCTCCTCACATTGGGACGGGAGCCGTACTGAGCGCCTTCGTAGTGAGTCGCATAATTCACACAAGAATTTTTTCGCACCTTTTACGTCCGCACAACGTGTCCCACCGTCGGAAACTACCTGGACCTACAGGCCTACAGGTGCCTACGGGGTGCTAGCGCAGCGGCAGCCGGCTCGGGGCGCTCGCTTTCGCGAGGTCCTGCACGTCGCCCAACCAGAGCGCGTACGGCGCCCCAGGCAGCGGCGGCATGGTCCAGACTCCAAGCGCGGAGCTGGCGACGGCTCGCTGCAGGGCAACCGACAGCACACTCCACCAGCGGGGCGCTCAGCCCTCGGCTGCGGCAGCGCGCAAGGGTGGCGGGGCGCGCTTGACAGGGAGCCGGAGTAAGGTACGGAGGAACTGCTAGCACTCGTCGCTCCAGCGGCCCCCGACTTCTGCAGCGAGGACTACTAGTCGTTGAGGCCCTCCGTGTGTCAACTCCGGGTAGCGCGCGACTCTGCGTCGGCGCGCCGCGACTCCCTTCCGCACGTCGGCACCGGGGACGGGGCGGCCAGCGCGAGTAAGGGAGGAGATGAGGGTCGCGTCGCAGGACAAGGCTTCGCCGTTGCTCGTTGCTCCGTATAGACAACGAAGTCGAAGCAGCGACGGTCGTCCGGGTGGACCTGCGGCGCTGTTGTGAGCGACAGCCACTGCTGCGGCACGACCCGTCCTTCCGGACCGACCGCTTCGCGAGCGACCTGAACCACGCCCTTTCAACGACGAAACCACGTCGGGGCAGCAGGCCCGTGCGTGGGCAGGCAAGGTAATATAGTCCCCGTATGCATCGACCTCAGCCCCACAGCCGTGTCGGCCCTCCGCGCCACACCCGGCCGCAGAGAGGCACTAGCCGCGACTAGCGAGACGTGCTGGCCAAGCGCGTAAAGTCCCGGTGGGTGCTCGACACGTTCAGCCTGCGCGCTGTCGTGCACTCGTCCCTCGTCGTCTCACCACAAGTAAGTGGAGGTGCGCGCATACATGGAGCGGGTGAAGGGCAGGAGCGACGGGACGGTATCGCGTAACTTGGCAAGTATAGTCGCGCGGCTGATGGTGTCGTAAGCACTTCGCCCATCGAGAGAGACGAATGTGGCCCTGGGGTCGAGTTCCACAGCTGCACGCAGCATCGCCGCCAAGCTGTCAGTACCGCGCGGGTCTGCAGTGCGAACAGACGAAACACGTCCCTTGTGGGCGATGCCTCGGATGCCTCCGTTAGGCTTGCGGAGGGCGGTGAGGTGCGACAGGGCGATGGCATCTAGCGCCTGTGCGCGGGCGGCGACGTTCACTGCAAAGCTGAATGACTCGAGGGCCTCCGCATCATCCAGGAGCAGCTTGTACAGCTCAACGGTCTCGCCGGACAGGCCTGCGGCCGAGCCGCGCTTGGAAATGCGCAACATTGCGCAACGCTTCACGTGCGCCGAAAGAAGGACCTTCTCGGAAGGTCTGTACTGCAGAACCTCGAGGGCCAGCGCGCGTAGCAGATGCGCCGGTCGCTGTACCGGGTCCGTCAGCGCCTCACAAGCGTTGCGGCACTCCCAGGGGCTCAGGCCGCTGCAGTGAGCACCTGGCGTGCTCGCGAGAGCTGTCCGCGCCGGGCTGTGGCACAGGCTGCGGCAGCTCGTGCCTCGTCGTTGTCCCGAACAGGGCGACGGGGGTGCGCTTGTTCGTGCCCAGCCGCGGAGTGGTCATGCAACTCGTCGAAGCGGCCTTGGCGGAACAGCTCAGTTCTGCTTGCTCACGCTCTGCTGTACCAAAACGGACACTGACACAAAGCTGACACTCACTTTTGCTGCGGGAGGGCAGACAGAGCAGTAGCTCCGAAGGCGGTCGTGTTTTGAAAAGTTCAACCGGCTCCTCGAGCGGTTCGCTCACTCGGGAGCGGATCGCTCCTTCGGGCATGTATAGCCCCTGCCGCCAAGACCAAGCCAACAAACACACACCCAAAACACAACAACACAACTTAGCAGCTCTGAGTGTCAGCATGGCAGGCGAATGACGTGTCAGAAAGGGGGACGGGCACGTCGCTCGTTTGGACCCAGTCGAAAGTGTCTCATGTGCCGAAGCTTGCACTAACAAACTCACCTAGAAAAAAGGGGTGGAACACCCTGACAAAGCCAAGGAGAGCCACAAAGACTCGCTGTACTGAGTCTTTTGTCGCTGCTGGCAGCAATTCCAGGCGGGGCACCTGATGGCTTTAGCACATCCGGCGGTACGCCTTCACAGAAAATATCTGCCTACTAGAATGCCTTGAAGCATTCGTAGGAGGCAGAGGAGCATCGCGGTGCTGCACACCCTCATTTGCCTCACCTGCACCCTCACTTGACTCCGTAGGTGCTGAGGTGTGACCTTCCGGCGGATCGTCTCGTGCTGCTGGGTCAACTGGCCGCCCGTCAGCGGTGGTAGTCGATGGAGCAGTGGAGCTCGGCCGTGTAGAAGAAGGCCCTTCAGGGGAGGCAGTTGGGGGTGGTGCATCCGACGCTTTCGAAGCCGTACTCGGTGCTTCCAAGGTCTCGTCCTTTATGGTCGTGGTAGCTGTGGGTTCTGACGAGCTGAAGGAGCCGGCATCGTGGAGGTGCTCCGCGTATCACTCGCATTGCTGCTTTGGATGCAGTTCCGGGTGCCGAAGTTGGAGCGTCCTCTTGATCGGCTCGAGCTTCAAGGTAATCGAGGAACTGCTCCATTGTTATGCACCCTGCCACATCCTCTTGCGTCCAGGTGACATCTCGACGCTCTAGCCTGTCACCGATCATTTTGCCCAGGCTCATCATAGGCGGCAGTGCCGAACAGTTTGAAGGGGTGTGTCCCTGGGCTGGAGGGAGACGGTGCCATGCTCGACCTGAAACTGTATTGCTCGAAGTCGTGAGCGATGTCGCATAAAGGCTGACACATGGCTGAGTCCGCGACCCAGATCCTCCAGGTATTTAGGATCATTGTTGGCGGTAGCTTGAGTCGCCTTGACTTTCCTCCTCCCTCCGCCCTTGGTCCCCCTCTCTCTCAGTTGGGCGGTACGCCTCAACGTGTCAGCCAATATAGACCTCCCATGACCGCGTTGGAAGTGTTGGCTAAGTTCTCGAGAAGGGACCGTTGTTGGGTCGTAGAGAGGCTCCTCATTCTCCTCTCTAACTCCGACGCACTCCTCTTCAATCCGGACGATCTCTGCCTTCTCTTCGGCTGTGAGCTCGGTGTCGGAGTTCTCCTCTTCCCCACCAGCTGTATCAGACGCGGGCGGAGCAAAAGACTTGGGTGGTGCCGCCTTCGGGGTAGCTTGGGGCGGAGCACGGGTCGAGGGAGGTACCGGTGTCTCCTGTCCCAACAACCGTCTCGCCCACATGCCCATACAGTTGGAAGCGTGTTCTGCTTCCGCCAGAGAGACTGCAAGAGGCATCTTGTGCGTGGGTTGGTCGTAAATGCACGGACCACGATGTGGACCTGGCGGTCCTTCATCCGGATGATAGTGCTGCCCCAAACTCGGCCTCTGCACAAAACCCGGAAGCTGAAATTCGGGCTGAGGGGAGTCTGGGCCTCCGTCGGCTCGGGGTAGTAGGAGTTGAGGTCGAGGAGCCATTGGTGTCCACCATAGCCTGCTTGATGCGGTCCATGAAACTCCTCTGTTGGGCTCCATGCACAATATCTTGAGCAACTCGATGCCCCAAGATTGGAACCCACTCAGGGACCTTTGCGACGTGGCCAAATATTGGAATATTGACTGGCACCAGGCCGGAACGGCCACTTGCTGCAGAACTGGCGCCAGCTGCTTCTGTAGCGTCGGGCTCAGGGGCTGGTTCAGCTGCAAAGTCTCGGCTGGGAAGAGGTGCTACTTTCCGGCTGTAGGTCGCCAAACTGCCTTTCCAGGGTAAGCCTTGGCCGGAATGGTCGCTTGGCTGGGGGCAGGTGCAACTTCGGAGTGGTCCGTTAGGTCAATCCCTTCGGGAGGAGCTCCTCGGGGCGATGGGTTGTGAAACGAGTCCCAAGCGACCTGCGGCATGTCCCCAGTGTAGGCAGCCCTGTAAAGTGCAAGCGCTGGGCTTCGGTCGATGATCTCCTTGCGGTTGAGGATCACCGGGGCCTCTGCCGCACCCTTGGCCACTACCTGGTGTTCGGCGGTTCGACCATGGTTTAGGAGCGGACCGCTCTTGGGGCGCCAATTCTTACAGGAGCGTTTCCTCCGTTTAACCGTCACTTCATCGTGACTGTGTTGGCAAAGCCAGTGGGTGGCTTGCTCATACACGTTGCCCTCCGAGTGCTGCGAGGTCCCACATATAACGGCATAGCCCATTGATCTCTCCACACGTACCACACACCCAATGCATTGTATTGCTGAAATACGAAGGTGGTGGGGCTTTGGGTGCTGCCTTTGATGGAGGCCGATGGGCGGTGCGCCCCTGGAGGTGGCGCTTTCGTCGGCCGCGGTGGTGGTGCTTGCGAGGAGCTGGAGGTGCCGAAGGCGCTGGTGGAGTCGTTGGCCCTCGCCTTCGGAGGTGCTTTGTAGGACGGGCGGTCCGCACCTGCCTCTCTCTTGCAGGTCCAATCTTCTCGCGGCGATTGCACGTATAGCAACTGGGGACCAGCACGGACACCTTTGCTTTGCAATGAAACCAAGCATATGGTTGATCCCCAGACTCCCAGGCCTTGAAAAGCTTGAGGGCAATTCCGCAACTCGTCAGCTCCGGGTAGTCATCCACATGCAGCGGTTGCCACGGAACCCGGAGACAAACCTGCCCAAGCGGCCGAGGGGGGGGTTTCGGCAGGCTGCGTCAACTGCCGGGCAACTTGTGTCTGGGAATCCTCACCGGTGGGGTACACCAGAGCGGAGCGCTTAGCATCTTGTAAGAATTGCTCCCAATGGATTGACGTATCAACTTCAACCCACCCTCCTGCGATGAGCTGGCTCCGGACAAGCCCTAAGTCTTCCCGACTGAGCCAATCGGCTAGCTGGTTGCGGTAGGTACGGATGTAAATGGGATGGAAAGTGAGATTGGATTCGGACTCGAGCCTTTGCACCAGCCGAACTAGGAGGCTAGCTGCTCGGTTCCGGGGGCTGCGTTTATGCAGCCAGGTCCTCACGTTCATGTTGTCAGTGACGTAAAGGACGAGCTCTCCATTCCAATCGCCCTTCCGGTGGCAAGCCAAAACAACAAACGCCAAGAGCTCCATCACCGAGATGATGTCAGTCTCCTCTCCATCCCGAGCAAGCTGCCTCAAACCATCCCGATACTGATCCACCTGATCTGCATGAAACACATTGTCCTTCCAGTCAACAGCTCCAATCCGCTCAGGAATGGCCTCCCCCCCAGTGATTCTGGCTCGGGCGGTGGCACCTGGTAGAGCGAGACGTTCACGGATGGGCAAAAGTTTCTCAAAGACCGCGGTGAAACTACATTGTAATGGAGCCTCCAGTTGTAGCCTGATGAAATCAAGAGTGTCCCAGAAGTCCTCCCATCGATGTTCTTCTTCCTCGGGACTGGAAGCCTTTTGCACCAGCACATTGATCTTTCCCCGAGAACCCCGAGCTCCTCCTGCCTTGGAGGTTACCTTTCAACAGAAAGTAGAGCGTAGGGAGGTGAGGGGCCAGGGGTGAGGGCTGGGCAGGCGGTACAATACTGAGCACATCCGATGAGTTCCTGAAGCAGACGCAGCGGCACTTCTCGACAGCCTCGTTGGAGGGCGGATTCGCCTAACAGATATTTAGCTTTAATACGTTTGGGTTCGGGGAGTCTGACTTAATTCGTGGGTGTCAAAGTTCATGTGCAGCCCCCAAAGCAGTTGGGTAGTGGAGGGTTTGCCCTCCTCAGCCATCTTCTCAACGTTGACTCCTTCAGGCCCCCAAACCAGCTGCATCGTCTCGTCTAGCACGGCGAGCGAATCGAAGACCCGGTTGCCCACCATGGGCTCAACCACAACCCCGTCGTCCATGAGCCACTTTGACTCAAATGGCACCACGTCGTTGAACCTTGGTTCCATTGGTCGGAACGACCCGTGGTGGGCTTTCGCAGCAGCACTCCAGGCGACAAACTCGCCTGGGGAACCGACCCAGCCAAATGGCATTGCAAGGCTCAAGATAACAAGGCCAGCAAGTTTCACAGCAAATTCCGGGACATCCTTCGCCCGGAGAGAGTGCCACTTCAGGACCCTCACCCGGATCAGCTCCCTGTGGCTGTAAGGCCCGTGGCGACGGCGCCACCGCGCTGCATCTGGCAGCGGACTTCGGTCATGCTGCTGGCCAGCATCAGAGCCACTGTCGTAGCACATGGTGATTCGTTCTACATGAATGCGAGCACATGGGCTCTCGCAAGCCAACCTTAACAATGCATATACTTGAGATGGAAATATCCAGACAGTGGAGTGCTCATGAGACATCTTGGGCGTACTCGATGTAAAGCCAAAACCCGGATCGATTGTATGGCACCTTGTTTTTCAATACCTTACGTGTCGAGGTCGAACTTGTCTCCACGCTTCTGAAAGCTCTCGGCACATCACGTTTGGCACACTTCTGAGGTATGCCAGGGTGCCTCGATCTCCACCACAGGGATTGATGGGCAACTGCGTGGTGCCGAGGCTGCGGCGCCGGGGGATGGTTGAACTTCGACCCCGCGTCATTTTGTCTTCGCATATCATTTATCTCATTTATCGGTCGGCCCTCGGCAGATATCGTTCTGTCCGGGTTCTGTTTCGGAACTCTACCTTAGAGGGCTTTCCGCAACTCCAGCCTGATCGAGAAGTTTCCCGGCATCCCTGATCTCCGGGTCCACAAAGAGAGCGGCACCATATGCTGCATCCTTCCAGGCTTTCTGGAGCAGCTCCTCCTCATAGCCATAGACTATAGACCGAACTGATTCTTTGCCTCCTCCCTTCTGAGAGGCTTCTCTCTCCTGCTTGGGACCCCTTCCCGGGCACATAACTGGAGGTACTCCTGATGCAGTGGTGAGATCCCTCGAAGGGAGCCGCGCTTCGCCCCTTCGAGGTGATCCCCAAGTTTCCTGACTCTGACGGTGTTCAAGACTTGTACAGCGTCCTCAACCGTTCCCGTCGAAAACATCAGCTCTGCCCCAAGTTTCCCAGCCTGGTCGGACTGCTGGATCCTGTGGCTCGACGCACTTTCGCTGAATGGTCCGCACAATGGGCCACCCTGCTTAGCAATCTTAGCGCTGCGCTCAGCGGCTTTTCAGGGACATTGCTTTTGGTCGTTCCGGCCCTCAGTGTCGCTGCCACACAGTGCCTGCGCGGTCTGCGTTTGCGACTCATTCTGACTCATTCCACGTCCCCGTGCGTCGGGCCAGGCAGGGTGGTGGTGCGTGTCAGAGCACCTCTAGGCAGGGTTAAACAAGGTAGCTACCTAGACGGCTGCCGAACTTTTCATGTGCATGATGAAGCAGTTCTGTTTTGCTGGTACCATTGGGTACTTGGAGGCGAGTCTGCCTGCCCGAAGCATGGGCATACCTCCAGTGTGCCCCTCACCAGGCGTCTTCGTCTCGGCCTGCGGCTTCCCTCCCTCCCTCCCCGGGAAAGAAACGATGCCAAAATTCGTCGAGGAAGGAGTTGAGAGGGTGGGAGGGGCCAGCTATGAGAAGGCGGTTGAATACCTTGATTTGTGCCAATCAACTTCCTCTGTCGAAAAAGCTCAAAACTCCTCGGGGTCGCATGGGCGGATCCGGATCGCTCGGGGGGCGAGCGGGATCCCCAACGTCATCGTCCTCGACTCCAGCTTTACATGGAGTCTGGGGGCGACGACACCTGTAACAAGGGTGAGGCTTAGAGGGGATAATCTCACCGAGGCATCCTGGGCTTCAAGGTAACTTCCCCAGCCTTCGACTTCGAGCTCTCGTATGGCACGTGCCCCTTGAGTGGCGATGTCAAGGAGCTGCTTAATCTGAGTAGGAGAACACCTGGCAGTTCTCATATGGCCACGATGAATCAAGACCATGCCGTGGCCTTCAATCGCGCCTGTTCCTTTGACGACATCAACCTCGACGACCCCGTGGTGGGAAAACCGGAGGACAACCTAGATGCGACCTTGCATAAACCGTTTCGCGAACAACTGCAGCATACGAAAGTCTTTCTCATGGTCAGCATAAATGCAATCATGTGCGTTGTGCCGCACAAAGGCCTCGGCAGTACTGATGTACGGACTAGCATCTCCGAGATGTTGAAATGCGGCGCTGCTTTCTTCCCACATTTCTCTACGAAGTCCCCTAGCCTTGTCCCAGGCCAGAGATGGTTCCAATTCGAATGCCAAGGCGACGTGCAGACACAGGATTGTCTGGATTCCTCAAAAGCATCGCCTTCGCACTGATGAAGTAGAGTGGGAAGATCCTCATGCAGACCAAGTTTGTCCTGTGCGTCCAAGATGGAAAGGGGTGGAACACCTTCCCAAAGCGGGTGGCTAAAAGTCATGTGAGTCTTACCAATACCATCTTCCCAAGCAAACGGGCCGAAGCTAGCTTCGGGATTAGGGGGACTCAAACCCGACTTAATACCGGTGGAGGCCAAAACCTGTTAAGCTTCTTCCGCCAGTTGAGGGTGCCCATAGTCAACAGCTCGCGTCAAGATCTCGGAAAGTTGCACTGTGCGACCCTGCAGTTCTGCATTAACAAAGTGAAAGGCCACATGTGAGTGCAAGTGATCGCTGCATCCAGCGATGGGATCAATTACTTTTCTGGCTATCAGTCCCTGATACGCATACGCAGCTTGGCGACGATCAGCCTCCTCTGTCTTTGCTTTCGTGCAGGTCACTTCGGTATCCCGATTGAATCTCTGATGCCAATCCAAGTCCGGGCCTTCCGCTAAGTTCCCGAGCTCCTGCTCCAGTGCAGTGACGGGTCCTTGATAATCCTCAGGGACGGCCCATCCGGCTTTATCCTTCCCTTTGGGTCGAGCTTTGGCTTTACCCTGGGCGGTACTGCCTGGCTCCACCTTGGAAGTCTGCTCCTCCTTAGCTTGGGCCCGAAGCTATGCAACCCTTCCATCAACTTCCTAAGGATTGACCTTGGGTCCGCTCTTAAGCCCTCCACGACGGAGCACCTGCCAATTTCGAGAGCTTTGGAAGGGGCTCGTGGGCATTGGGGCATGAGGCACGGTGGCAACCAATGTGACAAGCGGCGTCCCAGCAAATGGGTTTTTTGGTTTTTGAGCATTGTGGAGCATGCAAAATGGAGCTCTTGACTTCAGCTGGACCCAACCGCTTACCAGCAGGATAAGCCCTCGACCCTTCTCCTGCCTTCGGAGGATCTGTCCTTAGGGCGAGACGGGGTGCTCGTCCTGCTTTCTCGGCTTCATCTGGGTTGCTGGACGGAACGTCACGTTGGCTGGGCGTGGACGCCTCTGTAGGGCCTGCTGTCTTTCGGAAATCCGGTCGCTTCTCTTTGTCACATGGTCATGCAGTTGTTTGTTCAGCAACCTTGCCATGGCCTTGTTCTGTCGTCGCAGAACCACCCTTTGATAATACCCGGCTGGATCAGCCAAATCCCATACCCTGGGAAACTGATTTTTTTTTCAGTTCGCCTGTCCTGATGTGTTGGGTGCGAGGGCGATGAGCTTGAGGTCCTCAAGTCTTGGATTCTCCGTGCCTAACTTGGCGGGCGCACAGCTGACGACGGCTTTCCCGAACTTCCTCGCACCAGACAGCTGTCATTTCCTCGAAGAGCTGCATGCAATAGGAGAAGAGGAAAGCGTTCTCATCCTCTTCGTGCGCTTCTCGAAGGGCTTGGAGAAATTTCACTCTCCCCTGCAGATGCTCGAGCCCGTAGACGCTTCCGAAAAACCTTGATGGAGTTCTCGGCATACCGCAACCAGGTCAAGAACGTAGTGGGTGCACGCCCTCTGGCCTCGATCTTGTGCTCAGTAGGGGGGGACCAGTTCTCGATCTGCTCTACTCGTGCGGTGGCGCAATCAGAGGCGAGCAAGGTGAAACGTTCTGTCCCTCCCCACCAAAGCCCCGCAATCGAAAGCCCGACTCGGTTGGTGCCATTTTATCAAGCTCGGCTCAACTCGTGTTTGGCGTGGAGACCAGCTCTCCTGATACTATGAAACAACTCTTTTCCATAGACCCCTTTGCAGAGCTCGACGGAGAGCTGGCCGCAACCCCATGCAAGGAACACGTCAAGCTTCTCCCCATCTTTGATTGAGCTAACTTGGCCTTTGGTCCCGGTCTTGTCCTCATCCTGGGCTTTGCGCAATCCATCGATCGCATGAATAATCCGATCAGTAGCAAGAGCGGGAGTGCTGGAACCAAGCTGTTCCCCAAACGCGACACTTGCCTTGCGCAGTAAACCCTGTCCCAAGCCGAAAGCGGGTAGGATTTGATAAACGTGTGTCGGTTGCGGCACTGATGAGACTAGGTCTAGTATTATAGCATCCGAGGACGGGAACAATTGAGAAACCACGGAGGGCGGTCCGCCTCCCTGGGTAAGCAATTGAGTCCCCAACGACTTGTTGTGAGCCTGCACAACTCCTCCCCCCTGGGTCAAACCCGGGGGAAGAGGAGGAGGGGGCACCTGAGTTCCGGGTTTGGATGACCACGTGTCTGTCCACGCGAACGGGTCCCTCTGCAACGCGGATGTTCCATCTTCGTCCCTCTGTTGCCCTTCTAGCGCTCCAAGGACACTGAGCTGCACAGTCTCTGGGCTTACATTGCAGGCGCTGGCAACCAGCGCAATCGCTTCACTAACCGTGGCTCCCTGTGTCCGCGCGTCTCTGAATGACTCATGGAGCGAAGTGAGGGGTCAACTTCTGGGGGTGGACCACCTTCCCTTGCGGACGGCTCCGCAGTCGTCAGGACAGAGACAGTGGGAGGTCTAGGAGGAGTGCCGAATTCCTCCCTGGCGCAGCTGCTCTTGCTGACCAAGATAACTCCCTCATTCTGAGGGAGGAGAACTAGCCGGGGTTCCCTGATGAGCTGCCTCAGCTGTTCGGGGCGCAGGCTGACAGGAGTACTGACAGGAGTGGAATCCTTATCCCGGACTTCTTTGCCTTTCCAATCTCTTAACCACTCCCAATGCTGTGAAGCCACTTGAGTCACCTTTTTTTTTTTCCGCCTGTCGTCCGCGGTCAGGACGCTGGCAGGCGGCTTGCGAGC